GCATTTCTTATTTAACACGAATTTTACTGGTTTTGGGCCATCTGTAAAAAAAAAAAAAAATGGCAGTTTTGCTAATAGGTTTTTGGTTTTTTTTTACCTCGGCGGAGCAAGTTTAATGAAAACCAGAATGCCGCTGTGCTGGAAAGAGTTCAAAGATTGGACAGTAGTTGTTCTTATTTTGAAGCCGTGTTGGTTAAATGAGGCTTTCGGGCCTACTTAGGGATGTTAATGGTTGGTGTCGAACATTCCCGACATTTAACAAATTTGTTTAGGTTAGAGAGGAACTGGTGTATGGGGAAAATGGTGCATTTCAGGCGAGTGCGATGTTTTGATGTTGGCCATTGTAACGGTTTACCTTTTAGGCTGGATTCATATATTTTTGTGCATGTTTTTAATAAGTTTTAAAAGTAATGCATTTTCATACACTACCATTATCATTAAAGGAGAACTATGGGGTCAGGGCTTTTCCCCATAGTTCTCCTTAGGGTAACGGGAGGACACAAACTACCATCCTCCCGTCACCCTAGGCTCAGTATACCGCGAGCTGCTGCTCGGTATACCTCCCCTTCCCGCCAGTCAGCGCTGGCGGATTGGAGCGGGGAGGGGGGGAATCCAGCCCCTCCCCTGTCACGGCAGAGAGCTGTGACAGGATCGAGAGGTGAGCGAACGCCGGTATGTGTTCGCTCACCTCCCGATCTACTGAGCCAACCTGTGACAGTGTCATTGTCACAGGTCGGCTAGAACTATGAGGTGAGTGAAAAGCACTCACCTCATAGTTCTCCTTTAATGCGGCCCTATAATACATACTGATGCAACAAAAGAAAAAGAACACAAAAGGGGGGGGGGGGGAGATCAATAAAGGCTTAGCATAATTTTTCTGGCGGTTTGGACCTTTTTAGAAGGTTCTGCACCAAATTAAAAAAAAGCCCTCTATGGCTGTGACAGAATCAGAGAATTATGGACAGTTTAGATTTGCAAACTGGCAGTAATTAAGACGTGGCATACTGAGAGACACCATTGCACAGAGGCATGTATGTGCTGGAAGCTGTCATAAATATGATCGCTTCCCATTCATTGGTTGCTAGGACACCAGGATGCTGGAGTCCTAGCAACCATTTATGCAATTCCTGCCCCATTCTGGAGATTCCCCAGCCAGGAGCTTAATGTAAACAAAGGGGCTGGGTATGCTGGTTGAAATCCTGATGTCATACAGCATTCCACGCCTCATTAACTATCAGCTGTTGGCAAGGGAAACTCCTGGCCGGCAGCTCAATGGGGCCAGGGTTGAGTCTCTGGGAGCCTTCGACTGCACAGCCAACAACGTCTTGGCAACCAGTGATGTGGCTAAGTAGACAGAGCCTGATGGGGATGCAGAGGAACTAGTTTCCCATCAGGTCCACTCAGGTTGCTGATTGACAGCAGGTAGTGGACAGATTCCATAGCCAACAGCCTCTTCACAACCATTGAATGTGGCTAAGTGGGTAGAGCCTGATGGGGATGCCAAGGGACTAGTTCCCCATCAGGTCCGCTCTGCTGGTGATTGACAGCAGGCAAATTCCATAGCCAACAGCCAGCTGGCTATAGGACCCGCACACTGCCTTCTGTCGATCAGTAGCAGAGCGGACCTGATGGGGAACTAGTACCTCAACATCAGGCTTCGTCCTGCACTGTCGGCATCATTGGTTGTTAAGGAAGCTGTCGCCCTCCTCCCTCTTCCACCTGCAGTCCTGCTGCACTTTCTGCAGCCTCCTATCAGCAGGTCCGTAGCACCATAGAGACGTGGGGCTGGAAGAAGACTTTGCAGGGGCCCGTGCACTGATTGTTAATTGCAAACCAACCCAACCCCCCCCAAAAAAAAGTAAATTCACAATGAGCATGAAATCAGTGATGCTGCATTTGCGTAAGAGGATTTGTCCTTTAAATACATATATTTGGGGCTGTGAGGTTTATTGTTACATTTTTGGATGCAGAAGAGGCAGCGAGTATAAACCCCTGTAATCCACATATTGCCTGCGTTTCCTGGGATCTGTTGAACAGAAAAGATGTATTGCTGCCTCTGGATCCCAGAGTTTATACATATAATATTCCCCACATCACAGCTGAACAAAGAGCAGAGATCGAATCTCGTGCACTTTTCAGATTAACATTCACATGATGTAATGCGATGTAGTTATGCTTGATGTTAGATTAGGGTCGTAAAACATCATAAAACCTCCTAGAATCCACTTTTGTTGCTCACATTCGTTACTGAGTAATTAGCAGTAGAAACTCTCTAATTTTGGTGTTCTCTGTGTAAAAGGTTCAATCCACCCCAAACATGATGCAGGCTGCATATCCTAAAGCAAAAGAAAAATCTCTAACAAGATGTGTACGAGTTCTCCTTAGAGGATGAAGACGTGCTGCAGTATTTCATTTAGAGGGGTGGAAAAAGGTCATCCATAGCAGTGGTAATCATGGTGTGGTGTGTGTACCCCCCGGGGGTACATCTGACGGGTTCAAAGGGTGCAGCCAGTGCTCAGATTATACTCATTATTCTCGTGCGGAAGCTTGCTGGATATTTTTAGTGAATTTAAGTTCAGGTTATATTACAAGCAAAATTAATTCCTTGTTATGTAGTGATATAAATATGGAGGGTGTGGAGACAATAAATGCGCACACTGTGGAGGGACTTGGAGATAAAATGTATACACCCCCGGGGGGTACATCACTTACCATTTGTGGGTTTAAAATGATACAATATGGTAACGTTGTGAGACACTACTTTATAAAATAGGTATAAACTCTTCATAACGTTTAGGCCCCATTCACACTGAGCGATTTACCGTGCGATATCGCTCTCCAATGCATCTCAATGGGGCTCTATCCGTCGCGGGTCGTGCGTCGCTACAGCAGGACCCTTTTTTAAGCGGATTTTGCCGCGACTCTAGCTTGCTCAATGCAAGCATTTGCGCGATATCGCGCAAAATGCAAATTGTGCGACAAACGCGCGATTTGCGAATCGCTCAGTGTGAATGGGGCCTTAGATTGCTGAAACACTGGGGGGAAATTTATCAAAACTGGAGCAGTTGCCCATGGCAACCAATCAGCTTCTCTCCCTAGTTTTTTCAGTGAAAAGAGAACTGGGGTGAGTGGTTTTCCCCATAGTTCTATTAAGGCTCAAGGGAGGACATAAACTGGCATCCTCCCGTGACCCAAAGCTCAGTATATCGCGGGCTACAGCTCGGAGTATACTGAGACCGCTGCAGCAGGGACGGATCCCGACATTACTGTAGAGATCCACCCAGCTGCGTGAGTGACAGCTGGCTCTGCCTATCTAGAGGCAGAGCCCGCTGTACCCGCCCCCTCCCCCGTCCGTTCCGCCAGTCAGCGCTGGAGGATCGGAGCGGGGAAGGGGGGGGGGGGGTTTCCCTGCAGGACTGACCACGGCTCTCTACAGGGAGATGATCGAGAAGTGAGCGAGCGACGGTATGTGTTCTCTCACTTCCCGATCTATTGAGCCAACTTGTGACAGTTTCATTGTCACAGGTCGGCTATCACTGAGTGATTTTCACTCACCGCATAGTTCTCTAAGGTTTGGAAATGAAAGAGAGAAGCTGATTGGTTGCCATGCACAGCTGCTCCAGATTTTGTCTGCTCCAGTTTTGATAATTTCCCCCCAATGTGCCATAAACAAACAATTGCCCACTTTTTTCCCCTCCTAATAAAAGACTGTTTGCAGGCACTTCCTGTCTACATGCACTCCGGCAATGGTTGTATGTCATTTCTGAGGGTGGGTTTCGCAATGGTGCCAACAGTGGACCATGCCTGGGTAAAGTGTGATGAAACCACCACTTGTAGTCCAGATCTGGCAGCCTTGTGATGGACTGACAACGAATACGCACAACTGGGACATGGGCACAGAGCGTCATCACTCTATAACAGGAAGTGCCTGAAGAAGGAGCTTCATGGCAGGGTCATCAGGGATTATTTCAATGAAAAATGGTGATTTAAAGTGAAGCAGTGCCCAGATCATGCACAGTAATGTATTTACATATCCCGAGTGAGCTGTAGAATTATTGTAAAACAAGCCCCCATTCGCCTTCGTGTCTATAAGCATTGTGGAGAAAGTTCACAAGCTGTGTGTTTATCTATGGGGGAAGACTCTTGATCAGGGCTGTCCTGGCCTTATTTGCTGCCTGAAGGAGGCTGTGCTGTCAGCCGGGTGGGAGGTGGCGGGTGGTCAAGCTGTCAGCTTGGGTGTGAGGCTGCCCGCTGAGCTGTCCCCAAGGGGGATGGTGGGGGGCTGCTGTTGCCTGTGCTGCTGCCCCCCCACTGAGATGTTGCTTGAGGCTACTGCCCGTGCGCTTGATGAGCTGTCAGCCAGCGTGTGTTTCTGCTGTTAGGAACAGGATTTGGGGCTCATTCACACCAGTGGGCGCTCGTTATGCTTTTTTATGACTCATGTCTGCTGGTGTGATGCATTGTTACAGTGCATCGCAATGTTTTTTAACTTTATCGAAACATCACAAAGTGACGTTTTATTAATGTCTATGCACTGCAGCATGTTTCGACGCCTTGTAGTGTGAAGGAGGCTGCAGTCACGGTACGGGTATTCTGGCAGTGACTGCAGCTGATGCAAGAGCCCAGCTGGAGGGATTCTGGCTGGAGTAATCTGTTAAATCTGCAAACAAAAAAATATCTGCTAGTTTGGGGGGTGGGTGGCTCCTCGAACCCTCCAGCTGTGCTTTCACTACAAATCCCATTGTGGCTCTGGGAGTCGTGCCCGTAACTGTCAGTCTTACAATTCATCGTGGGACTTGTAGTTCCACAACAGCTGGAGGGCCGGAGTTGTCCACCCCTGTACTAGTGTATGGTCAACTTTTTAGATGCTTGTTTCCGGGTCGGAATTGAACGGCCTCGAGTTCTGGGAGTTGTAGTTCATTACCTGTAGAGCTGTCAATAAAAGCAGACTCTGGTCTGTGATTCTGAAGTGCTCACTGTTATTTCTTTTTGTGTTTCAGAAAATCTTCAACTCGTTTGTATATACAGAGAAGATTTCCAACGGAGAGAGTGAAGTGCAGCAAGTAAGTCTTTTTGGAATATTGATCATTAACCGTATTGTGCAGGTTTGTGTATGATGAGTGTGCTGGGTAAATGCCCCCCGGGGGTGGGTGGGTAAGGGGGCAGGCAGGTGACAATTCAGGAGAACGTATTTAGCCCATTAGCTTTTCACTAACAGCAGTTGGCTGGGTGTCCGCTGAGTCCATAGACTTGGCAATTGTCGTCTGGGGGCAGTGGCGGAACAACCATGTGTGTGGGGGGGTGTACAGGGACAATGATGGCATGCTTGGACTTGTAGTTCCTTAGCTGATATACATGTGTGGGGGTTGGAGGTACAGGTCTAGTGGAGGTTTATATAATATGGGGGGGGCGAAAAAAAATGTTCTGCCCCGGGCGCCCATAACTCTGGTTACGCCACTGTCTGGGTGTGTGGAAATTGGCCAGAATGTGTGGCAGACTTCGAAAGTCTCCGGTGGGCATCGGTCCTGATTTGTGTTACAGATAATTGCACAAGCTGTGATTATATCCGAGCCCCGGCCTTCCCTTCAGTCTTGCACAGTTTGTACCGGCTCCTCTCCTGGACTGAAATTGCTTCCTTATATACTCAGGCTCAGCTTCCTGCTTTGCTGCACTACACAATGGTTGCGCTTTACAGCTCCTTCCCAGAAAGCACGTCTAGGACGCATAGAAAGCAATGCTCTCCCTGTGTGGCTAATATGGTATAGCTGAACTCCGGCCTCCCCTTCAGTCTTGCACAGTTTTGTACCTCTCCCGGACTGAAATGTAGCGCCTCCTCTCCCGGACTGAAATGTAGCGCCTCCTCTCCCGGACTGAAATGTAGCGCCTCCTCTCCCGGACTGAAATGTAGCGCCTCCTCTCCCGGACTGAAATGTAGCGCCTCCTCTCCCGGACTGAAATGTAGCGCCTCCTCTCCCGGACTGAAATGTAGCGCCTCCTCTCCCGGACTGAAATGTAGCGCCTCCTCTCCCGGACTGAAATGTAAGGAATGTGGCGGCTCCTCTCCCGGACTGAAATGTAGCGCCTCCTCTCCCGGACTGAAATGTAGCGCCTCCTCTCCCGGACTGAAATGTAGCGCCTCCTCTCCCGGACTGAAATGTAGCGCCTCCTTTCTGAACAATGCGCCGATACTTTCCGAGTGCCGACAACACTTGGTGGGATCAGCCATTGAAATAGCGGCTGAGTAGCGTTGTCAGCCCGGCACCGCAAGATTGCGGAAGGCAAGATCTTAGTTTATTTGCATGAACCAAAACTGATATAAATTGTCATTCTAGGAATGTGAATAGATGATGGAAGTCTCGCTTTGCCCAGAGACGCACTTTAAATGAAATGCCAAGTACACGGAACCTGATGTATCTGCTCATGGAAGATTTTTTTTATTTGTCATGACTGAAGATCTTCCAGAATCTGAAGATCATTAACTGTTCCCTTTTGTAAGATCTCAGTCTCGGTCCCATGATTCCAGAACATTTCCCACAACAAACGCCCGCTCTGTAATAATTTTCACCCACGTAACAGAGCTTGGAGCAGCCCAAGAGAGAATATAAATAAATCAACATTCATAGCGAGTTCCCATCATGGCATTCCTCCAGACCGACAGAGATCCTGTTACCGAAATGTTTGCTGACCTCCGACCTCCGGCGTTTGGAGCCAGATGAGCTGCGCTGGCCGGGGAAGGGTTAAAGCACTTGTCCCGAAGTGTGTTTTCCCCCCAAGTTAGGCCCCGTAATCTGACACTGTGTAAACCGAGGCCGGTGAGATCACCCAGAGCCAGCAGGAACGTCTTTCAGTGCCGAGGAGGCCGCAGAGCGCAGCTTTTACAAGGCCAGATGTGATTATAAACAAGCAATGGAGTAAAATCCGGGCCTAGTCTGTCATTCAGCAGAGTGTTGGAGTTTACCAGAGATTGACGGATTGGCCCGAGCCGTCTTAAATCACAAGTATGCTTTCTTTTCCATCATGCAGCGGAACCAACCCGATCTCTAAAATCTCATGTACGCTTTAAAATGCTAACGTGCTTTTCAAAGTTGTTTTCAGTCTTTCTGCAGCTTTTGTTAACCACTTCGCTCGGGGTAGGGTTGCCAGGTGTCAGGGATTCACCCGGACAGTCCAGGTTGCGAGTGATGTGTCCAGGTCTCATGGGAGCTGAAACGTGGGCACCAGATGTCAGGTAGACGGGGCAATCAGATTTAAGATAGGGGCTACTGGCCCCCCGCTGAAAATAGGCTTGACTGTGATATTTCATATGAATAACCCATGACTCATTCTTATGTAAATATCACAATTGATATCCAAATTCTGCACCTCCTCGCATTGCTGGTCAGTGTGACAACCTCTGTAACATTGCTGGCCGGTGTATATACCTCTGTAACATTGCTGGCCAGTGTATATACCTCTGTGACATTGCTAGTCATGTTGAATACCTGCGTTACATTGGTGGTCAGTGTAAAGGTGCCCATACACCTGCCGATTATCGTACGACGATCGAGGGTGATCCCGCAATCGTACAATAATTGGCAGGTGTATGGGCACCTTTCCTCTTCCTAGCACTCTGGAAAACCCGCCAAAAAACAGTATTTGATGAAAGAGGGAAACAAAACAAAAAGACACATTGCGTCAAAGTGCATGCACTCCAGCAATGTCTGCATAACATTTCCCAAGGCGGGTTTCCTGATGGTGACAACAGTGGACAATGCTTGTGTAATGTCCGTGTGCTGAATCGGCCACTTATAGCCTTCTTTGGGAACCCGTGTCAGTGTGACAACACAGAAAACAACAGCCAGAAAACCGGCACACAGCGTTGTCACCCAGGAAGTGTATGAACAAGGAGCTTATGACCCACAATAATGAAAGCTGCATATTTAAAAAATTACTCTTAAAATGACATGAGCATGTTAGAGCTTCTATGAGATTTTAGTGATTGGGTTTATATCTGGTTTACCCCCTCCCACCCCCCACCCCGAGTATTATTAGAATAAATGTATTTTTGAGAGGGGCTTATTAAGGTAAAAGGGGAATACTGACCGGGCGCATGAGACGGAAGCCACTTTGTAGCTGCACACTCAGCCATTGCCAGTCTGGGTGCGCGCGGCGCTGCTCGCTGCAGCCTCGGCCTACATTAAAATTATTTCCCTTGCAAATGCATTTTGTAAAGCGGCTGATTTATCATGTGCCAAAATCTGCTCTTGTATTCCTGCTATTTAATTTAAATTAGTTTCTGCTTCACTATAGGATTAAGGTTTGAGTGTTGATATCTTTAAAGCTTTACACCAGCTAGCCGGGGGTTATTTATGAGACTCTCTTAACCTGTTTGTTCCAAGTCAACGGCGGCTGTTAATTCTTCACCGCAGAAACCGTTTTCCACCGCCGACCTCGGCCGTAATGTTAAAATCTTCCCCAAGTTGTGCCGGGTGCTGCTTAGAGGGGATCGAGGTGTCATTTTATCCGCGGTAAAAAAAAAAAAACGCCCAACAAACGCGCTTTTCCAAGGGCTACTTGGCTGTATCCCAATTGGATATGCGCGGCAAAGCTCCTGTACTTCTTTGGGCGTAGGGCGTTTTGGAGAGCGTTCCAACACGCTGTAAGAAACGCCCAGGTGGGAACCATACCCATAGGAAATCATTGGTTTTCACATGTTGAGCGTTTTACAGAGCGTAGGAACGCACTGTAAAACGCCCAGGTGTGAACCAGGCCTAAGGAAAGGCTGCTCTGAGAAGAGTTTCTTGACGGGCCGTTTGGCCAGTATATCTACTTGAAAAGACTCCCCCCTCCC